GATTCGACTTATGTTAAGAAAGGAAGATGTAGATCTAGGAAGACTTGGGCTTATTGTATAAAAAATGATCTTAATTTATTAGAACTAAATGAAAATATGACACTAAATAGGACACAATGGAGAAAAAGGATTCATGTAGCCGATCCCACGTAGTGGGATTAAGGCTTTGTTGTTGTTATATTTTAAGTACATTATTAATTTTTATTAGTGATCATTTAAAAAATAAATTAATTAATTAATAAAATTTTATGGAGAAAAAGATTTTGTTGGATCTTTAGAAAAACATTTTGATCTGGTTATTTAACTTAATACAATCAGAAAATCATAAAACATTTAACTTGGTTATGGAAAGCATTGAGTGGGTCAATTGTTATCTCTGACCTATTAGTGGTAAAGTTACTTTTTTTTTTCAAGTAGTTAAACTTTGTAATTTTTGAGTTATTGACTCAAGAAAAAGATAATGTTGATGTTGATCATATTGTTCAATAAGTGCCTGCTACATGAACTTGTATTGCTGAGCCTAATGCTTCGGTTGATATATTACTTTATTTTCTTTATGTTAGAGCTTGTTAGATTTTTCTACTGGCATGGTCCCACTTCTAGTAATTTCAGCAATTAAATGTTTGTATGTTAGCAGAATTGTATGTATTTCTAACATGTTTTATTTTATTTAGTATATAAATATTGCATGAAAAAGGATTAACCAAATATTTTCCTATTTCAATTCGATTACATCAGGGCCAGCTTTAAGCCCATATCTTTTTACTTTGGTTATGGATGCTCTTATTGGATATTTATGAGAATGTACCTTGGTTTATGTTTTTCACTGATGACATTCTTCTTGTGGGTAAGACTAGAGAAGAGTTTAGGAAATACTTGAATTATGAAGCTCTATTTAGAGTCTAAGGACCTTCACTTGAGTAGTTCTAGAACTGAATACATGGAATGTAATTATTTATTTAATTAATTAAAAATATTTATAACTTGTTAAACTAAAATTATTATTTCGATAATAATTTTTGTAATTATATTTTAATTTAATTATTTATTTAGCAACTTAAGTTTTAGGGTTTAGGGTTTGATAAAATTTTGTAATATCTAATAATCTTGGTTATAGAACGTTACTGAAAATTTAGATAAACTAATTTAGCAGTGATTAGTAAATTTAAATACATAATTAATAAAAATTCAAACATATTAGTAAAATTAGCACTGAATCTTTAAATTAGTAAACCTAGTAAAATTTATCTCTAAAAATTATTTATATTAAAATATATGTTAGCATTAAAAATTAGTAATTCTTTATTAAAATATTAGAGAATTACGTCAAGTTGTGCATTAAAAGCATTCTATAATTTTAATTTAATTGAGTAAAATTATAGTTGAAATTAATAAATTTATTCTAAGTATTATGAAATGTTTATTGCATTTGAAATTATAAATTTTTATTAGTGATCATTTTAATAAAAAAATTAATTAATGCAATTTTATGGAGAAAAAGATTCTGTTGGATCTTTTGAAAAATATTTTGATCTGATTATTTAACTTGATACAAACATAAAATCATAAAACATTTTAGCTTGGTTATGGAAAGCATTGAGTGGGTCAATGGTCATCTCTAACCTATTAGTGGTAAAGTTACTTTTTTTTTCATCAAGTAGATAAATTTTCTAATTTTTGAGTTGTTGACTAAGTAAAAGATAATGTTGATACTGATCATATTGATCAATAAGTACCCACTACATGAACTTGTATTGTTGAGCCTAATGCTTCATTTGATATATTACTTTATTTTCTTTGTATTAGACCTTGTTAGATTTTTTTGTTAGCCTGATCCTATTTTTGGTAATTCTAACAATTAAAAGATTGTGCGTTAGTAGAACTGTATTTATTTGTAACTTATTTTATTTTATCTAGTTTGTTCATATTGCTTGAAGAAGGATTGACCAAATATTTTCCTATTTCAATAGGATTACATCAAGGATTTGCTTAAAGCCCATATCCTTTTGCTTTACTTATTGATAACATTAACAAGAGAATGTACCTTGGTGTATGCTTTTTGCTAATGATATCCTTGTTGTGGATAAGACTAGAAAAAGAGTTTAGGAAAAACTTGAATTATGAAGCTCTACTTTAGAGTCTAAAGACCTTCATTTGAGTAGTTCTAAAACTGAATACATGGATGTAATTTTAGTAGTAGTAGATCTAGTGGCAGAGTTATAACTATGAGTGATCAAATCATTAAAAGGTGTGAACATTTTAGATATCTCAAATCTATTGTTCAAAGTGATGGTGATATAGATGGGAATGTTATTAGTTGAATTCAAGTTGGTTAGTTGAAGTGAAGGAATGCATCGAGTCTATTGTGTGATAGAAAAACACTACTTAGATTTAAAAGGAAATTCTTATAAAATGGTGGTGAGACCTGCAATGCTTTATGATATAGAATGTTGGCCTTTAAAAGAGAAACATAAAAATAAGTCAAGTGTTGCGGAGATGAGAATGCTTAGGTGGATGAGTGGCTTGACACTCAGAAACAAAATGCGAAGCTAATGTATCCTTGAAAGGGTTGGTGTAGCTCCAGTGGCAGAAAAGATTAGAGAGAGTCATCTTAGATGGTTTGGTCACATTACCATTGATCATCTGATGATCCGATTAGGAGAGTAGATGTTTTAGATTCGACTAATATTAAGAAAGACAAAGATAAACAAAAAAGACCTGGACATATTGTATAAAAAAATGTCTTAATTTATTATAATTAATTGAAAATGACTCAATAGCACACAATGGAGAAAAAGGATTCATGTAGCCGACCCCACTTAGTGGGATAATGGCTTGTTGTTGTATACATATTGCATGAAGAAGATGCAATTTTTTAGCTTACGGATGATATTTTGAACATGATGTAAATTAATGATGTGAATACAAATTCAAGTGATTTTATATGCTTTGTATCTGACGGGTCAATTTTGTCTCAGGGAGCTGCTGGAGCCTCTATTTACTATCTGGGTTTTACTCCTGGGCTCTTTATGGTTGGTCTATTTGGTATTTTGATATTGTGGAAATGCAGTAACTTTTGGACCACAGGAGTACTTATTGTAGTTGGAGGTATCTGACTATTTATCTATATTTTATGCAACAAAATGTCCCTAGGTCCTGCACTTTATATGAGCTATTGGTTTCTGTAAGATGTTGCCTTTAGTCATCGGCTCTTGTAAACAATGCAGGTTATGCGTTCTCCCTAAGCCATGCACGGGGTCTTGTAGTCATTTCGGCTGTATATGCTTTGTACTTTGTTCATGCTCGCGTTGGATGGACTGGAGTTTTTCTTTCCATGAATCTCTCCTTTATCTCAAATGACCTTCTGAATAAGTTACTCCAAGGATATGATTATGCCTGTGAGCATGCAAGTTGTGAGGAACACAAGGCATCCGAACCACTTGTAGAAGATTATCCTAGCGAATTTGAATTTTTTCCTCATACAGCAGAGGCTAACAATGTGGCTTCAAGTAAATCAACTGTTAAAAATTCTGTTACATCAAGTTTTTTCGGTGTTCAGAAAGATGCTTCTTCAATCAAGGTTGTAAATGCTGATTCAGTTTCAAATGATGAAATGAAGAGGATAATGAATAGTTCAAATCATTATGAGGCCTTAGGATTTCCTCGAAGGAATAGTATTGATCCCATTGCATTGAAAAAGGAATACTACAAAAAGGTGCATTTTATGCTCCTTCTAAAGGTTCAGTTCAATGGAAAGCTCCCTAATCTCTTAGAAGAAATAACTATTTTGCTGTTTGTGTAGGCTATGCTTGTCCATCCTGACAAAAACATGGGAAAGCCATTAGCAAGTGAATCATTCAAGAAGCTACAATGTGCTTATGAGGCAAGCTATATATTATTTTTTTGCTTTGGATATTTTGATTGTAAATGGAAGTGGTATCTGATATCTTCTGCCTTGAACCTGGTGTTTGCCAGGTTCTTTCAGATTTTACAAAGAAGAAAAATTACGATGAGCAACTAAGGAAAGAAGAGTCTGGTAGAGCACTCCAACGTTCCTGCAGCTCCTCTAGACAGGTCTGGCATCTGCGAAGTTATTTTAGAAAGAGTTTTTTTATTTTGTTAGGAATGATTGAAATCTCTATTTTCACCTTTCTATTAATTTGCTTCATAAGGAATTCTTTAGTACACTTGCATTATAATACTGATTTTTTGGCTTTCAATTTTTGTATTTTGTCCACTTCCATCTATATTTTACTGGTTATTTGTTGTGGATATTTGTCTCTTCAGTTTCACTTTTTCTTTTTTGATCTGGAGAAAGTAAACTCATTACTGGTTTACATCTATTGCAGGATGGTGTAGATTTTCACTCCGAGGAGTCTAGGCGTATAGACTGCACGAAGTGTGGGCACTCACATATTTGGATTTGCATCAAAAGAAGTAAAGCAAGTGCTAGGTGGTGTCAGGTCTGGTTAATTTTGAACGTTGCATGTTGATAATTCTTTTCTTATCGAGTGTATGAGTATTATTGTCCACTTAGAATGCTATATAATGATATGTGTGGGTATCAGGACTGTTCTCAATATCATCAAGCTAAGGATGGAGATGGATGGGTGGAACTTACTTCTGTCTTTTCAACCTCCCAAAAGGTATTTCAGTTTGGAAACATACTGGGATCTTTCTTTACTGGGTTGTGCTATGCTTGCTCGATTGGCAAACTTGATTCCCTATTTCTTTATCTGTACAATTGATTTCTTTGCATAATTTAGTATTGTGGGGTGATGCTCCAAATTAATTAACTTACCTGTGGCTGTAGCTGTTCAATAGTGTTTTTAAATATCTTATAATTAGGAATGCTTCTAACAGGACAGCATATCAAGTTTTGTCAGGCTCCTTTACCTGACATTTGGAATCATCACGTTATCATAGAAAGATGAAAAAAATATTTGTGATGTATCTTATGGAATGTGGCCTTGATTGCTGTTGTCTTTATCAAACAATCTTAAATCTTTCATCATTAAACTAGTAATTTTAGTGTTTACATCCTCATTAATCTATTATTTAGCTTTTATTCTTATAATTGAGGGTCTGCTTTAAAATGCTCAACAACAACAACAAAACCTTTATCCCACTAAGTGGGATCGGGTACATGAATCCTTTTAGTGTCATATTTTCTCCATTGTGCTCTATTTAGTGTCATATTTTCATTTAATTCTAATAAATTAAGATCATTTTTTATACAGTATGCCAAACTCATACTAGGTCTACCTCTGCCTTTCTTAAGATCTACTCTTCTAATCGGATCATCAGATGGTCGATGTTTGATGTGACCAAACCATCTAAGACGACTCTCTCTAATTTTGTCCGTCACTAGGGTTACACAAACCCTATCACGGATATATTCATTTCGCATTTTGTCTCTAAGTGTAAAGCCACTCATCCACCTCATCACTCTCTTCTCGACAACACTTAACTTAGTTTTATGTTTTTCTTTTAAAGGTCAACATTCAACGCCATGTAGCACTGCAGGTCTCACCACATCTTATAAAATTTTCTTCAGTCTAAGCGGTACTTTTCTATCACACAATAGGCTCGAAGCATTCCTCCAGTTCAACTAACCAACTTGAATTCTACTAATAACATCCCCATCAATATCACCATCATTTTGAACAATAGACCCAAGATATCTAAAGCGCCCACACATTTTAATAATTTGATCTTCCATTGCTACATTTCTGTCACTAGAGCTACTACTACTAAAATGCTCATTCTCTATTATGTCACATTTCTGTCATTCTCCATTATGTCTGCTTTAAAATGCACATTCTCCATTAATTGCTTACATAAAATTCTGTAAATAATTCTTAAAACTTAATGTTGTTGTTTTTTTAAACTTTGATCCAGGAAGATCTGAATTAGTCAACTGTCAGGCCTGCTAAAGGAAGCTGGCTGACAACTGCCATTCTAGGAAGGCTGGTTCTCTTAGGACAGCCAGTTGAGCCTGGAGTGTGTTCATCAGTGCTTTCACCCTTTTGGGGTTAATATTAGTTCTTATTTTTCGATCGTATCTTTTTCATCAGATACTAATTTTAAGAATCTGTTAATCTTTGCATTTAGGAGGTTTTTACTATCAGCTAGGGGGTTTGGCTCTGGATTTTGTTTTTTAAGGAGTTATTTTCTGTGATTTTTGCAATTGTTAGGATTTTAAATTTTCTTTTATAGTGTTAGCAGATGTTAATTGATGCAATGAAAATTAGATATTCAATCTTAAAATTTCATATTCAAGCCGGTTCCTCCTCCTCCTCCTCCTCTCTCTCTCTCTTTCCTTTATCATTCAAGACCATCCCAACACATGCTGCCCCCTTGCCACCACTTTTCTCCTTGCTTTTGTTTGAACCAAAAGACTATAAGGTTACAAAAGGCTACCGAGTAATTACTCCACTATGGCATGTTTCGATTAGCTAAAATTTGTCCAGAACAGTGATTTTATTGTTTGGACAGCAAACTGGAATCATTTAATGAGAATTCTAGAAGGATTATTTGTATAGAAGGAATGGTCACATTCACAAACTTACCTAGAATTTAATAGAATTAAATGAAAATATGACACTCAATAGGATCCAATGGAGAAAAGGGATTTATGCAGTTGCCCCACTTTGTGGGATAACGGCTTCTTCTTGTTTCATTCTTTTGTTTTGGATCATTTTTCTAATAAACTTTACGATTGCACGATTGAGTATTGAGGCATTTTTTGCTATTAGGTTAGATGTAAGCCTCGAGATGTTTTGAGGCATAATTTTCAAAATTAACAAAATGTGCATAAGTAAAAAGTATTGTACTATGTTTAAATTATAAAATAAAAAAGGGTAATATATTAACATGCTAATCTATTAGCACATTAAAAAGTAACATAATAATTCTAACATGGTAAGTATAATAAGAAGTAACTTATTAATATTTTAATTTCAAATCATAAGTTAAAATGAGTTGTGCAAAAATTTAAGTTAATATATTAAAGTGTGATATAATAACATAATAATTCAAGTAAGTTAAATTAGATTAAGTCTCTCTCTCTTACTATCCTCCATGCAAGAAAGAATATAACAATATCTTAAATTAGAACTTTTAAATTGAAAATCTTCATGACTTTCAGCACTCAGGCGGGTGTTCATAAGAATCATCGACATAGCAAATAATTTTCTCCTTTATCCACTTCCTTGGTTCATCTTCATCTTCTGTAATCAATAATAATCAATAAGCATATTACTTCATCTTCATCTTCTGTAATCAATAATAATCAATAATAATCAATAAGCATATTACTTGAATTTTAAAGCAATAACTATGTTGATGTGTCTAAGTTCAATTACATCAATTTTTTTTGGATAACTTCTATGTTTATTTCTTTTTGGCTTGTGAAAAATCGGGTGGTCTTATCTCTTTCTTTATTATCATCATCTTCAAATGATTTGTCATCTGATAGCATATCATTATATAGTAATTGAACTTCATCATACTTTGAAGCATTTTTCTTCAGTTTCTTATCATATAGTCTCTTATTATACATGGTATGAACCAAGGAATTCATCCCTAAGGTAGAAAAGTACAAGGTTTTATTATGAAAAGTAAAGTATCGGGTGCACTTATCAAGGATGTGATTTGGTTTACTATACACGGGAAAAACATGCTTAAAGGTGAAGGATGAAAAATCAAATGCATTCATTACGGTCCATTTTTTATTGCAAAAGTTTGGCGGAAATACATTCTAGTTTGATTTACCTTCTGACATAAGTATCTATTTGTTATCAATATAGAAAAATTGAAGTTATTTGCACTGCCACTGCTAGGGCTGTTAACAAGCTGATTTCGAGCTGAGCTGGGGCCGGCTTGAAATCGGCTCGAATGGATTGAGTTCAGATCAAAATCGACTCATGGCTTGTTATGTTTGATGTTGAGCCAGCTCTGCTCAAAATTGAATCTAGTTCGATTTGGTTCGAATCAAAAAGAGTTGGCTCAAATTTGAGTTAATTGGATCTGTTCCAGCTTGAAATCAGATCGATTCAGCTCGAAATTGAAAAAAGATGGCTAAAATTGAGTCATTTGGATCCATTTCAGCTCAATATCAGTTCGTAGCTCGTTATATTTGATTTTATTTAGCATTATTTTATAATTTTTATAAATAAAAAACAATTCGAGTTAATCTCGAGCCAATTGAAGCCGATCTGTGTATGGATTGAAATCAACTCGAACAAAATTCTATCCAAAGTTTTGGATCATAGCTCGGCTCATTTATTTCGATCTGATCTCGATCCAAGCTAAAATTTGAATAAATTTTTGAGAGATTAACGATCTTCAAGCTAAATTCATAGCCCTAGCGACTGCTAGCCAATGAAATAGAATACATGAGGGTGATTCTTATTGTTGAGAAAAACATTAGACTTGAAGGCCCTTTATAAGAAAACTACACTGTGGATATGAGAATCACCACGAAACTAGGTGGCTTAAAGAATATCTTTTAGAATACCTTTAAGATTGCTAAAAGGGTATAAACTCCAAGCTAGGCCAATTGGTACTCGAAGATTATTCAAAGATAGGAATTTAGCCTTCCCCCATCTTTGCTAAAAGGGTATAAACTCCAAGCTAGGCCAATTCAAAGATAGGAATTTAGCCTTCCCCCATCGACTACTATTTGCAGGAGCTAATTAAAGGGCGGGATGGGATGAAGTTCCAATCTGATTTGAACAAATTAGGGAGCCATTATCAATGTGAATTTGAACTAATCAACCATCAAGCCAGTCCACTGAAGCAAGTTGATGCTTGTTGGCCCACGAAAGGGGTTAAATTTTGGGCCTTGGTGGTCCACTGGCGCTTTCAATTCTTTTAGGGTTAAGTTTTACTTTTTCTCTCTTATTTTTTTGTTTTTTTTTCCTATAGTTTAGGATTAAAAATATGCGATTCCTCATGTTAGGAGAAGGTTACCCGGAATGTAGGAAAATTTGTTTTGAATTTTGAATTTTAAGGACATGTTCCCTGAATATTTTAAATTCCCGCTTGTGTTCTGAAAAGGTGTTAACGGATGCAATAAAGATCAAATTTTAAGATTTAAAATTTTAGTTTTAAGTTTTTCTTCTATTTCTGCTTTCTCTTTATCGACCATTCTCATGTCTCTCTCCTGTCGGTGACTTGATGGAGAAAGATAGCATCTGGTCACTCCTGTCCCACCTCTATTTATCTCAGTTTTAGTTATAATCGAAAGTCATGAAGACTTGGGAAGGCTGCCAAACAACTCCATGTTGCTTTGGAAGGTTAGAACAGTAATTTTCCCAACTGAACAGCCACAGCTGTTTTAAAGGTAATTCCAGCAGCAGAGGGGGAATGGAAGGAATGAAATCATCCATGGACTTATCCACATTTCTGTACCTCTCATGCCTCCAGGACTGTTGGGACATTTAACTTTTAGTTACTTGGTCCCTGGGATTTTGGATCAAACTGATAGAATTGGATGCTATAGCATTTAACAAATAAAACTTTTTCTGTATACATCACAGTTAAATGCTACTGGCATCTTGGTTGAGTAAGAGAATCTTGCAGAAGTTACTGGAGTTTTTTGGTGTTCCCATTGTTTCTTGAGTGCCTGATTGGGGGTACAATGTGAAAGCAAGCACCCTATTTGCCATGCCATGCGTTGCTATATATGTATGCATGTTATGTTTTTGTTTTTTTTATTATTTGTTTGCCTTTCTAAATCCAAAATGAATATGCTCTACCCTATGTTTTATGCAAAATAAATAAATAAATAAAGGATTTTCTCTTTAAATTGAGGGTCATTAACTCACTGCTCATTAGTAAATTGGGGAATAGATGAGATGGGCTCATTTTTGCTGTGTGCGCAATGGATGCTTGTCCACAATTAGTTCATAACATGTGAAGAATTTCTTTTAATGGTCAGGTGCAAATACCTCGTGCCTTTGTCTGTGCTGAGAGCAAGATATTTGATGTGTCCGAATGGGCTAGTTGCCAGGTTAGCAAATTTTCATTCGTCTATGCAACTTAGTTTTTGTTTTTCTTTTTTGAACCAAAGTCTATTTTTTATTTTTGTTTTATATCACGGCTTCTATAGACAGTTGCAGCTTCTGACATGCATTAATCCATAAGATACTATTTTCTATGTCCCTTATCAGTATAATATTGTTCTTCTATCATCTCCTGAATGGCTTGTTTTGAATACATTGCTTATGGTTATTTTTTAGAAAGAGGCAAAGTTAATTATCTTCAGTGTACCAGCAATAACGGCTTTATAGATCCCATATTTACTTGAATAATACTAGAAGTTAAAACATTGTTGTGCATATTTATTCGATGCTATAGTTTCCTAACTCAGACTTTTTTATCATGTTCTTCTATAAGGGGGTCAAAAACAACCCTGTTGATAGTTGCAAGATGCCATCGACCAACTAATCTTTGCGTAATATGCCCTCTCACTATGAATTCATGATTGTGCACATTTTTGTTCAATGGTACAGAAGTACATGTTAGGAGGATTTGTTAGATATGTTCTCCGGTGTTCAATGGCACAGCAAGATTAAGAGCACTCAATGCTTGATAATTGCTTCAGCTGAACAATTAATCGTGTGATGTTAAGAGGTTTTGTTATACACAACCTGATCTGATTATTTCTTTTACTAGAAATTTTGTTTTTGTGATTGAGGGTTTGTTTGGAGAAGCTGTAGCTTTTTGAAGAAACAGATGTGAAACTGTTAATGTTCAAAAAGTTACTATGGCTATTACAATTTTTTTTTTCAAGAAGTCAGTTAGTTTTCTAGTAGCTACCACTGGTAGTCAGGTCTGGTGGGAAAATGCAGTTTTCATCTGCAGTTTTTTGAAAATACAGCAAAACATAAATATGTCAAACAGAAAAAATTACAATGCGGCAGCGCACTGCCGCCCCAAACGCACTCTGAATCAAACTTGACATTAGGTAGGATAGCTATTTTCATTTAAGAAGATTAGCATAGGGATTTAGGAATATGAAATAGATTTAGGCTTGGTGAAGTAAGGGTATATAAAAGATTATCGAGGAAAATCAATACGGTTCTACAGAATTGAAAAAAGTAAAAATTTATGGTGGCTTATAATGATTATAAAGAAGTTGAAAGTTCTGAATGCTAGGAGTATGAAGCAAGGGGGGATCAGTTAGGCTTTATACATCAGGAGCCAAAAAATGTTACTACCCAAGAGCTCAAGCCTATGGGATAGGGTCAATCAATTTATCAAAAAATATACATATTTATCTCTTATGCAGACCCTATATCTACACAAATCTTAACAATCTCCTACTTACATGAGAAGTCTTCTCATCAACCATCATTCCTCAAAATTTTTTTAGCATCATCTAGTATTATGCATCTAAAAGAAAACTCAACCATTTGGTTTCTCCATCAGCATTGCCCGCTCTTGGACCTTGCTCAACCATTCTAGAATGAACCAAAAACCCACCGTAAGAGCAACAAATGGTGTGAACCTTTCAATCCCAACTTAACATTTTTGGCGTTGATACCACTTTTTAGGGAGTGTGAAGGATGGACTAAATTTTCCCTTGATACACAAGTTACCAAAACTTTTTTCTAATCAAAACGTTGAGCTTCTAGAATAGATGGATCATTCATTTTTGCATCAACATATTTTTTTCTTACCGCCAATCATTTTGTTGAGTGGTATTGTATTAATCTCTAAAGTGGAGATCTAAGGTTCAAATCTTTGTAGGGGGATTTACATACATACCACCTAAAACTATTCTATATACCAATCTAACACCTAAAACCTAATATTTTTTACTATTATACCACCTAAAATGGCCTAACACCCTAAAAAATGCCACTCTATCTGCCTCTATTTCTCCCCTGTTTACATCTTATCCCTTTCAAATCTGCAGCTCGTATGCATGCTTCATTGCTCTATTACTTCCGCGGGCCTTCTCGTCTTCAACCATCTGATGGATTTCTAAATCTGCAGAGAAGATTCATAAAAAGAAGTGGTTGCATGACCTGACGAAATTATGTTCTGTCAATATCTCTGCTAGTTTGATAGAGAAAGGGCAAAATCAAGTAATTGATGCATCTATCACTCTGATTCGTGAGAGGGATAAGCTCAAGGTGCCTTCTATTTCCACACACTGCAGAAAAATCAGAGCTGCATATAAATGACGAATGGAAGCAGTGGAACAACCAGGAAGCAGCATGGTAGGAGTTGGGAGAGCCCGATCTGTAAATGTATCACGGAGGTGGCGTTGTCGCACGGGATGAAGAGGATTTGCCGAACTGAGTGTTAACATAAGAGGTAACGGAGTGGTATTTTTTATGAATAGAGAAGTTTTAGGTGGTAGAATAGTAAATAATAGGTTTTAGGTGTTAGATAAGTGAATAGAATAATTTTTTATGGTATGTTTGTAAATTCCCCATCTTTATATCAACATACTATTCTCCTCTCCAATATTAGAGTAAACCTAGCACTCAAATGTGCTGTAATATCAGTTCTCGAGATGACTCGTGACTTTGAGTGCATTGCAGCATACTTTTTTTTAGCAGATTCTAAGATCTTTAAGGTTTGCAAGTTTGTGTTGGTCATCATGAAGACCAAAAAGTTGGACTTTAAGTATTGGATTATGTTTTTTTGCGCCATGATTTGGGGAGCTTAAATATGTTAGCTTCTTACTTGAATAAAGGACGCATTTTAAGGGGAAGACTATAAAGTATGATTAGGTGGATCAGCCTCTTGTTGCACAATCTATTCTAGTGTCAGGTTGTATTGTTGCTTCATTTAGAGTAAGGTGTTACTATTCTAAGAGTATAAAGGATTCAATTGTAGGTGTACTTTCATCATTGATTGATTCATTCAGTTTGCATCAAATATGCTTCAAAGGTTCTTGATAGTATATAGTTCCAAGCATTATATGGGCTTGTTGCGATTGTAATGTGTGTTTTCTTTTGGGTTTGAGAGCTTGAGGAGCTTGAGGCTGGAGAGGAATGGCATAGAAGATGTAGATTTTGTTGCCACATTAGTGAGTTAAGGGAAAGATTTTTCTAAGATTTTGACTCAATAATTTAATAAGTTAAGCACAGATATTGAAATAATTTGATAGGATAAAATGAAGTTTAAAAGATTGTTAGTGAAATTATTATTTTGGATTATTTTAAGCCAAAATTTAAATCTATTTTTGATTTAAAAGGCAGCTTTTTAACTTCTATAAATATATAATCAATATTCTTGTGTGGGTTGGAATCTTTTGAGTATTAGATGACATGCATGTGTGGAGTAGTGCATGTTATGAGTTTTTTGTATCGTGGGAAAATTGTTTTAGTGCACTAGGCTTCTATTTGTGCTTGGATGCTTTGTAGAAATTATAGAGGAGAGAGAAAAGGAATAAAAAATATTTGGTCATGGAGCCTTACTTCGGCACTTTACAAGTACATTGTTGCCATAAATTTTATAATGTTCCATAAACATGTTTGAAGTCACGCTTTCCAGGAAATTCTAAGTCTGTAAATCTTATTATTTATAATATTTTTATGGTGCTCTCCTTTCTGTTTATTTTAAGAGATTCTGATTCTTGTTTGGGGTGAGATTGGATGTATTTGGGGTTGGGGAAGTGTATTTTTTGGTTCGTCATATATTTTGTACACCCATCTTGCTTATCCGTGGTAAATTATTTCTTTCCCCTTCTGTAGATAGACTTATTTTTGCCAAATCTCATAAATCCACTGTTCTTTTGTGGTTGCTCACGCTATAACACTGTAATGTACATTTGCAAAACATGGAATATCCATCATAATAATATGATTGACATTCCATTGCAAAAAGTACATTTAAAAAGCCATCTTTCCAATTTTTATTGTTACAAAAAAGTAAGCTATCACATTTGCAGTGAACGATATTTCACAAAATTCTCACAAAATATTTTAATTGATGCTCTACAAAATAATCCTCTTACAAAATACTGAAAGACTTGTGACAATCTTGTGATGCTCATGGTTTTCATATTAAATACATACAACCAACTTACATTTTTTTGTTAAAAAATTATATGCCTGGTGCTAGGTGATCATAAGTTCTTCGATGAATGATTTTTTACAGATTTATTACTAGATATTTCTATCAATACACGACAAAATACTCGCATTACAAATCAATGGACTTGCAACATTTTGGTTCTGTTCATGGCTGCACAATAAAAGCATGCCACCAATTGCAATTCTATCACAAGGTTATATGTCAGTTGCAAGATGGTCAAGAATTGTCATGATTATTTGAAGGACGATCATATTCATAACAAATTGATCACAAATTGATTGTTATTTTGCCTCAATTGATAAAAAAGATGCACAATGCAATTATTACATTCTAACATTTTACGTATGAAATTAAAGCATGTCTCTATAAATTCTACCATTTATATAGGGTTGTAAATGAACCAACGCACTCGATGAACAACTCAAATTCGGCTCGATTAATACTCGATCATATTTGTTTAAATTAGTAAATAAATAAACTTAAACATTTTTTAGAAGATCAAAGGTTAAATGAACTAAATATTTTCTCTTTATTTATGTTCACAAATTAGCACGTTTGTTGTTCAACTAGGTTAAATGTTGGATATTAAATAAGATGATAATTTATTATTTAAATAAAATTGATTAACTTGAACTTATTTAATTATAGATTTAATAATAATATATTATTATATCACTACTATTTTAAGATTAATTAATAATTATATATTTATTTTTTTAATATTTTTTATCAATTCACGTAATTTAATGATTATTACATCATTATCCATCATATTCAATATATCATATTTTTTTAATATTAATTAATTAATCGTTATATAAATATATTACATTAATTATGTAATATTATATATTTTTAATCTTTTTCTTCATCTATAAATCACTGTTCGTTTAGCACTCAGTAGCGTTGGCTCAGTCCGTTTCTTCTCTTTCCACATTTTGCCTTGTTTATGCC